AAACCCCAAAACCCCAAAACCCCATGAAAATAAATTCTACTCAAAACTGTTAAATTATAAGACTAATAATAATACTCATGAAATAAAATAGTCGAAATTTAACTCTCTCTTAAAGTTCTTGGAGTGACCTTCTTTAAATTTATAGATAAATCTACCTACATTCTTATTCGCTTTTTCGTCTAGAGATAATGCATTTGTCTGTTGAATAGGAGGTGCAGCACTTCCTCCTGATATCTAGTCCAATCTTCTCTTTTTTTAATTTTGCTAAGATTGCTAGGCAAAACCAGCTAAGAATCCATAGCCTTATAATTTGGTATCTTCAATTGCCTAGGTTTTCTTCATACTCATATATTCAAAGTAATCATCAGCCTTAGCATTAGATGTTAGCATTCTCTGTTTTATGCTTTCATAGTTTTACATCACAAGAACTTAAGTTTTATTCCTCATATAGAGTTTATTTCCTCCTAAGAAGGTAACTAACTAAGTAATATTAGGCTCAAATTTAGCAATATCAGGATTTTATGAAGTTAGATTAGTTTATTCATTAGGATCTTGCTCCTCGGTTAAAGTGATGTCAAACATCACCATTATCTCTAATGCTGTTGAGAAAGATTGCTTCTCATGCTTTGTAAAAAGCTAGGTATTTATTTCTCTAATCTGTGGATGAATCATTTAATAGATGTATGGAAGGAGATCAGTGTTAAAATCTCTCTTTCTCACTCCAGTCTATAGTGAAGTATTTTTGTCTAGCTTAAATCTTTCTTCGTCCACTACTTCATTTTTCTTAACTCTTCTATAACCTTTTTTTTACATTCTTGTTCCTTCTAGATCTAATAATTGATCAAAGATATATTTGTTCTTTTGTATAGTTTATCTAATGTTTTTAATTTCTCTAGGGAATTCAGTTTTATTTGCTCGATTTCCAGAGCAAAATTTTCTAAAAGTGTAAGCAGGAAGATATTGAACTGCTAACATTTCATAATTCTATGTTCTTCTAATGAAACGATCGTTTATATCAGCCCTAGATAAACTATCTAAAAAGAAAGCAGTCTTTTCTAGATCGTCGTCAAAATAGTTCACACATCCACTATAATTATGATAAAGGTAATCGTTTATCAGCTCAGGATCTCCAACACTATGCACCTTTTCTTTCACTTCTTTTATAAGTTTTGTATTATTGGTATAAGTATGTCTGTCTTTACAGAATAGAATATCATCAATGACGTTGAAAATTCTATCAAATGAATCTTTCCCAGAATACAATCTTCCTTAAGCCTCAATTGCTTAATTAACTGTGATTTTTTCTCCTCCACCTCTCTATTGAGAAGCTAAAAATTATAGAGTATTAATACAACTTCTGGCGTCGTATCTAGTCTCTTCACAAAGTTCTCTTACTATTTAATCCTCAATCTTAAAGTTTTCCTGCTTGCAAATATATCTGAGTCTAGTAAGTAATCTTTCAAAATTAGACTCTTCAATTTTGACTGCTAATGCTATTTCTCTTAAAGGAATAAGAGCTCTAGTGTATAAATCATTGCATATGAATATAATAGGTCTCCTGAGCTCTCTGATTCCATCATCTTTCTTCTTTTTGTTGGTGCCTTTTTTAATATATTTATTTTCTTCTTAATCCTCATCAGTATTTGGTTTTTCATCAATATCTTCATCATCTTCATCTTCATTGTTATCATTATTCTTTTTTTTAGTAGTTTTTTCAGAATAGCTAATGCATTTTTTAAGATACTCTACTATCAAGCCTACACCCTTTGTAGATTCCTGACCACTACCTCCACCAAGAGCTCCATCAACTTCATCTACAATAAGACATACAGGCTTTGTAGAATCATCTTATCCATTTCCTCCAGCTGATGGTGCAGATCCAAAGTATGAATTCATTTGTGTAGCATTTTTTATTTTTTCTAATATTTTCTCCCCTGATCTTTCATCTGAGGCATTGATCTCTTAAACTCTATAGCCGCAATGATTAGCTAATACTCTTGCCATGGTAGACTTACCAGTACCAGGTGGCCCATACAAAACTATGACCTTTTTGTTTTTGTAGGAAAATATATCCTAGTGCTGTATAAACTAATGACTTTAAGGTGAACTTTTTTATCCTGTATGAATTTGGTTGTATCCTGATTAAACAAATTTTTTCTGCATACTAAGTGGCATTTTTAAATTTACCCTATCGTTATAAGGGAAGACCATTTCGTCCCATGTTTTAAGCCAAGTAAGCACATTTCTATTTGTAACTTCATCTGTCAATAAGTCAATATACTTTTTTGAAGTATACTTATCAACCCACAATCTGCTATCATTACTGATTTGTTGCACCTGTTCCTCTACATCAATATCTTCTTGCATATTTTACTCTTTTCTGATTATTATATTGCCATCTTCATCCATCTCAAAATCATCCTCAATTTACCTCATCTCCTCACTCTACAAATTTGCATGTAGCTACTTTTCTTTCTCTGTTCTTTTTTATTTTACCAAATTCAATATGACATTGATATCCATCTCTAACAAGGGTCTATTATGATTTGAGGAAACAGCTTAAGCAAAAGCATCTAACTCCTCCTATTCGAACTTTTCTGCTACATAGGGAAACTCATTCTCAATATTTTATGTCTGCTTGTCAACTTCATAGAACTTAATTTTAGTTTGAGGGATTTTCTTGGATAAATAATGATGCATATATTGCTCAATGTACAGTTTAAACTATTCTGGATCAGTCTGATCATAAACGGTCTAATTTGCCTAAGTTGTGCTCTATTTATTTTGCTAAATTTAAGAATCATAAGACTATTTTATCAAGCTCTCATAAAACCTGTCTTTCAATAGCTCCATTATTAAGGTTTACCGCTTTATTTTAATATTTCAAAAATAGTCTCGTGATGGCTATAAGGGGTTTTGGGGTTTTGGGGAGTTG